CTTTGTAAAGTACTATCCCTAAATAATTTAGATTATCAATACCTAATATAAGAGACACAATAGGAATACGTTTAAAATTTTTCAATTATTTAACTTATAAATGACATACAATTGAGTGTATACTTTAGGTGCCCAACTAAAACTCTCCATAAAAAGTATCCAAATATTAGAGTATTGAAAGAAGGGTGAGTGGGGAATTTGAACATAATCAAATCTTGTAGGGACACAAATACTCACTCCGATCCATTTTAACTTGGATTCGACTCCTCCATTTCAATCATATATCACTCCAAATTCCAAAACCCCCAACCCCAAATCCACCAAACAATTCCTACGTAGACGTTGCAGACAGCAGAAACTTTGGCCGTCTTCACCCCACCCCCCACCACCCATACCCATACCCATACCCATACCCCTACCACCCCCTTAAATAACCTTCAAAGCCATTTGCAACTTCAAAGCTTTTCATACATATCTCTTCTCGGAATTGTATATACTCACTTGCTCTGTTTTTCAATGGCTTCCTCTGTTTTCTTCTTCTTCATGGTTCTTCTTTTTCTTCTTCTTCTTCCCTTGTGTTTATCTGAGGTGTTGATTTTTCCCCTCACCCACTCCCTTTCAACAGCCCAATTCAACACTACCCACCACCTCCTTAAGTCCACCTCCGCCCGCTCCGCCACCAGACTCCACCGCCACCGCCACCGCCAAGTCTCGCTCCCGCTAGCTCCGGGGAGCGATTATACTCTGTCTTTCTCCTTGGGTTCCCAGACTATATCTCTGTATATGGATACCGGGAGCGACGTTGTTTGGCTCCCCTGTCACCCTTTCGACTGTATTCTCTGCGAGGGAAAGTACAGCCCCGCCGCCATACCTAATCCGGGCCCTCTCAACCTCAGCTCCGCCGCCCCCGTCTCGTGCAAGTCACGTGCATGCTCCTCCGTCCACTCCTCCCGCTCCTCCGACCTCTGCGCCATGGCCAGGTGCCCCCTGGAGGACATTGAAACTTCCGATTGCCGGAAGTATTCTTGCCCGCCGTTTTATTACGCCTACGGCGACGGCAGCTTTATCGCCACGCTTTACAGCGACAGCTTGACGGTTCCGATGTCGTCGCCGTCCTTGGTTTTGAGGAATTTCACGTTTGGCTGCGCGCACAGCGCTCTCGGCGAGCCGATTGGCGTCGCCGGGTTTGGCCGCGGCGTCCTCTCCATGCCGGCCCAGCTTGCCACCTCTTCTCCCGATATCGGTAACTATTTCTCCTACTGTTTAGTTTCTCACTCGTTCGACACCGACCGAGTCCGGCGACCGAGTCCACTCATCCTCGGCCGCAACTCGGTCGCTGAAAACAAGGCCAAACAACTCCCAACCGACGATTTTGCGTACACCCCAATGTTGGAGAACCCGAAACACCCTTATTTCTACTGTGTCGGACTCCAGGCCTTATCCGTCGGCCGGCGAAGAATCGCGGCCCCGGAGAGTCTCCGGCGGGTGGACAGAAAAGGGAACGGCGGGATGGTAGTCGACTCAGGGACTACCTTCACTATGCTGCCGCAGGAGTTCTATAACTCGGTGGTGACCGAGTTCGACAACCGAGTCGGGTCGGTTTTCAAACGCGCCGCCGAGGTGGAAGACCAAACCGGACTCGGGCCGTGCTATTTCATGGATTCCGGCAAGCTTTCTTCTTCGCGTTCGAACGTTCCTCAACTTCTGCTACACTTCGGCGGAAATTCCAGTGTGGCGATGCCCACCAGAAACTACTTCTACGAATTTTCCTACGGCGGCGATAAGGCGAAGGCGAAACGGAGAGTGGGTTGCATGATGCTGATGAACGGCGGCGATGAGGCCGGAGGGCCCGCCGGTCTTCTGGGGAATTACCAGCAGCAAGGGTTCGAAGTTGTTTATGATTTGGAGAAGAGACGGGTCGGGTTTGCCCGGAGGAAGTGCGCATCTTTGTGGGATACACTCAACCGGCACTAACTTGCACCGCTCCCGATGGGCCCCAAGAGTCAACGCCATCACGTTTGACATTTTGCTTGACTTTTGACTTCAACAAAGTCAAGTGAAGGTTCGAACCGGGTCGAGAAAGCGGGTGGGTTAATATTTTGTATAGTTTCCATTTTCCACTTTCACGTTTATGGTTGTACAGTGAATGGTGGTAAATATAATAACAGTTAAACTATAAGCTTGGTGAAAGAGTAAATAAACAACAACGTTAACGGAGAAAGTTACTGCTTTTCATTTTTTATTTTTAAAAATCCTTCCTGCAAGAATTGATTATGTTAAAAGAATGCGAATGAAATATTGTTGCAAAGAGTACTCCGTAATATTAATTTATCTCTTTGATTTATGGGAAGTCCGACCAAAAGTAAATTTTATGGTTACTGATTAAATTCGCTGAGTTGTCCCAAGCTACATGTACTGATTGATTCAAAATTATCCTTAAAAATTAAAGGGATAAAGGTCAAATAGACCCTCCAACTATATACTAAAGTGCAATTAATTCCTTGAACTAAACAAACCTTCAATTAAACCTTTTAACTTGTTAAAAATGTGCAATTACCATTTTTAACAAGTTACCAAAAAGTAACAAGTTAATTTTGCTTGCTTGGCAATTATGTGGAATTTTTTTTTTTTTTTTTTAAAAAAAACTTAAATAAAAATTGCCGGATTCACATATTCCATGTCACCCGATTCTTCCGTAGTTGCTAGCGATGGATGAATTCGTCCGTTCCATTCGATTACTTTGTTCGTTCGTCCGACTTCTTCGATCAAACCCATTCGTCCGTTCGTAGAGATTCATCAGTTCAACTACACTGTCTATCCATCTGTTACATTTGAACAAGAAGCTCGCTGGCTTCTCTTCTCCGTTCATTGAGAAGCCATCGAGCTTCTCCGTCCAAATCTGGGTGGAGAAGCTTGCTGGCTTCTCCATGAACGGAGCTTCTCCGTAAGCTTTGTTCATGGAGAAGCCATGTCAGCAGGCTGAGCAAGTTGCCAGCCTGCTATGGCGTTTCTTTCTTTTTTTTTTTTTTAATATATATATTTTGTAATATAATTAATTTACTTTAAAAAAATAAATTTAAAATATTAATTGACGTGGCATCTTACGTGGAATCCTACGTGGCAAGTGACTTGAAGATAACATGTTATTATAGGTCAAATATGTTAATTGCACTATTTCAACTAGTTTAAAGGTTTAATTGGAGATTTTTTTAGTTCGAGGGGCTAATTGCACTTTAGTATATAGTTGGAGGGTCTATTTGACCCTTATCCCAAAATTAAATTTGAAAATGGAGCAAATACCAATTTTGGTTATACTAGTATTAGTAAAAGGACAGTTTTAGTCCACATGTTTAATTCCTATCAATTTTCATTCATAACTATTGTTTTACTACCAATTTTCATCTATAACTATTATTTTAGTGTCAAAATTCATCACACCGGTTACCCCTCCGTTTAAGATATGCAAAAATATGAAATTATTAAGAGTATTTTTTTTTTTTCAAATTAAGATCCTAATTTGAGCATAAATAAATGGATTTAAGCCCTAAGATCGATCTCAATTCACAGCTCTCCTCCTCAAATTAAGGTAGGATGAGGAGGAGAACTGTGAATTGAGATTGATCATAGGGCGTAAATCTCACTATTAATGCTCAAATTGGGATCTTAATTTGAAAAAAGACGAAAATACCTTTAATAATTTCATATTTCGGCATATCTTAAACTGAGGAGGTGACCGGTGTGATAAATTTTGGCAAAATTGGTACTAAAATAATAATTGTGGATGAAAGTTGGTACTAAAATAATAATTATAGATGAAAATTGGTAGGAATTAAATATGTGGACCAAAGCCGTCATTTTGCTAATATTTGTGGGACCAAAATTGATATTTGCTCTTGAAAATATTATTTTAAAGAAATATTTTTATTATTTTATAAAGATAATTTAAAAAATAATTATATTTTGATAGAGATGTTTGGTCTAAGTGAGTCGAATTTTGTATGGAAGGGTGGCGGTGGACAAAAGTCTCCAAATTTCATGGACTTTTCATGCCAGCAGCTCATATTAAGGCAGTCCACTCAAATTATGAAATGAAAATGACAACCTCTATAAGTAATTATGGTCCTCAAAAATTGAAAATTAATAATTCAAATGTGTTTATTGAAACCTTAATCGACAAGTATTTGTTGCAAACATTTTTTTTAACAACCACGAGTATAAAGTCTTTTTCTAAAAAAAAAAAAAAAAGGTCAAATACGCTCCTGAACATTCATAAAAAAGTCAATTAAGACTTTGAACTTTCAAAAGTTACAATTAAACACATAAACATACTATTTTAAAGCATTGAAGCCCAAAAGGAAAATGCAACCAATTTGGTTGCCTTTTCCTTCGACCGGAGAAGGCGACAAACACTTTGGTTGCCTTCTCCCTCTGGTGAAGGAGAAGGTAGACCAGTTGGTTTGCCTTCTCTTTCGGTAGAGAAGGTGAACGCAACCGGCGATTAGATCACCGGTGTTTTTCGCTGAAGTTTGGTCTGGAGTTCACCGAAACCCTAGTGACCTGCAATTGTAGGTCACCAATCAATTGTTGGGCTTCAATGCTCCACAATAGTATGTTTACAGATTTAATTATAACTTTTTAAAGTTTAAGAGTCTAATTGATTTTTTTTTTTTTTTTTTTTTTTTTTTGTTAAAGTTTTATTTTTAGTATCTTGCAATGATTGCAGGTTAACCTAGTGTCTATTAAAAATATAAAGTCACATTTAGCAGCACACAATATATACACTGCTTGTTTAACTAAATCTTTAAGACTATAAGATCATATTCAATTCACAACTTTCTATCTTTAATAGGAAGAATTTTTATGTGCAGGCAGTATGATGGTTTTTGGGTTTTCGAGCCCAAGGAGGTCCAACACAACCTTTAGCTGGAGGATACACCTTTCAATAAAAAGCTTGCTAAAATAATATGAGCTCGACGATTTTGACGTGGAAACCGAAAGGAAAATCACGGGCCTTTTTGGGCGGTGCCGAGCCTAACTCCATTATGTATTTTGTAGGTGTCTTTGTACATACTTGTAGGGCTATTCTCTATACAAAGTGTTGTGTTTCTAATAATATAGCAATAATAATAGAAAGAAGAGTGATGGAATGGTGTGGAAGAGTCCTTCGATGTGTATGGATGAATGATATGTCTTCTTGAAGGAGAAAGAGTAGTGAGTGGGAGAATAGTACTTGGGAGAGTCCTCCCACATGTAGATGAATGAGTGAATAGTACTTGCAGGTTACTCCATTTTCCTCTTGAGCTTTGCTTCTTCTTTTTGGACTTGATCTCTTTTCTTCTTGGGCCCCGAGCCCACGGGGTTCACACCCAGTTGTTATATTATAGACCGCGGTGCATAATCAATTATGCACCGCGGCCCATATACGGCGCCGTTTCTTTAAGTAAAGAAACGGCCCGCCGTTAGAGTTAACGGAGTCCGTTTGTTTGGTGTATTAAACACTAACTGACACTACAGTATATCCAAACCGACACTGCAGTTATATCAAAATGATACTATAGTTATAGTGAAATGAAACTGCAGTGTATATAAACTGAAACTGAATAAAATTTCACATATTTGAGTGTATATTGTACAATGAAGCTGTAATTATATCAAAAATGATCATGTAGTTGTGTTTTAATAAAACTATAGTGTATATAAAATAAAATTAAATAACATTTTCACATATTTGAGTCTATAAAATATCGAATGAAACTATAGTTATATCGAAATGAAACTGTAGTTGTGTTCAACTGAAACTGCAGTGTATACAAAATGACACTGAATAACAGAGTTACTTTTTGTAAAAGGGTGCGAAACGGCGGAAATAAACACTGTTAATTTTCATTTAAAAAAAAAAGACGCGCGGTGCATAATCGATTATGCACCGCGGTGCATAATATAATTTGCCGTTCACACCCCATCACAGTATTATAAAATTTAAAATATTATAAAGGAATTTATTTTTTATTATGTTAAGGTGATACTAGTATCAAGTACCAACACTAGCTATATGTTATTATATATAATATCATCATGTGTTGTTAACATTAGTTTAAGTTAATACATTGTTGTCCTTCATTCTATCAACATTGAAGAAAAATTCATATTATATATTTATATGATATAAATGACATAATACATATCCTTATAATCTATAGTATTTGTTAAAGATCTAAAAGAAATTGGATACTTGATTCATGATCCAAATAATTTTATTGTAAATATATAGTGTTACCACTTACCAACCACACTATTTGTTTGGGATCAGAGTATTATGCTTTGGGAATTGGGATGCAATACACGGAGTGACGGAGGACCATATATAGAGATTGGAAAGAAAATTTGCAGGGAATCTCATTTTTTGAAATTCCACCATAGAATCAGGAAAAGTGGCTGTTTATTTTTATTTTATTTTTATTTTTTATTTTTTATTTTTTGAAAGAAGGAAAAGTGGCTGTTGATTACTCATTTTCTGCTTTCCACCAAACAATGCACACAAATTGGTTCAACAAGTGTCGATTTCCTAGCTGGAAGTAGCAAACTTTCTCTCTATTTTTGAACCTCAATTTTATGAAAGAAAATGTGATATACTATAATCACAAATTTAATACACTGGTATCTTTATCTTTATTTTTATCTTTCTTTATATATATAAAATAAAGCAGAATCTAGTTACAAAATTTTCCCTCCAAAGTGTAAATGCATTTTTGATAGAAACAAAATTAGCAAGTATGAATCCATTAATTATGTAGGTAGATGTATCTATACATATTTTTTTGAAGTTATTATGTGTATTTATATTTTATAAATTATATTTTATTATTATATGCTCTATCTCTATATATATTAAAGCATAATGAAGTATGGAAAAAAATTTATTGTGTTCAAATTTATTGGTAAACTTTAAATTTAATATAATATAATTTATGTATATATTCATTTAAACCTCAATTATATTTAATTTGACTCCACATATATAAAGAGGAGAAATTAGATATAAAATAAATATAGTTTTTACATAAATAATCTTTTTCAAATGAATAAGTTTTTTGTGGAGATTTTCGACAAATATCGCCTGTTATTTTATTTACAAGTTTTATTTAAATATGTTAGTTATATAATTAAAGTAGTTATTTCAAATTAAAATTCCTTTAAAAAAAATTCAAATTCGAATAATAATACAAGTGTTATTCCGTTGTAATTAAAGTTGTAACACCCCGTGTTACGGCCTTCAATCCCGAATTAATTATTTAATTAATTATGTTAATAATAATTAAAAAGGATTCAATTTGGTTAGGATTTCCTTTAATTAATTAATGTGGTCCACCATGGGCTGTGGACCCTTGCCTAAACTAGAGTTTTAAGCCTATTAGGAATAAAGAGGGTAAACCTTTTACTAATCAGATTCTAATTAGGAATCCTAGACCTATATACCTATTAGGAATAAAGAAAGTAGGCCTTTATTATTCAGAGTATGATTAGGATTCCTGATTCTATAAATAGGGGATTAGAAAGCAATTAGAACCCACACCATAATAAATAGCACCACACAAGAATTCCCAAGAATTCCCCACCACCAAACGTAGGAGAAATCAAGAAAAAGAGATCGTAGAGAAAAGAGCCTTAATAGCCAAGGAATCTAATTAAGGCTAAGAGGTAACCCATGTCTCAACAAAACCTATTTTCCTTGCTATAATTATCTTCTTTGGCCTCCTCTCTATACTTGTGTCTTGATGAGTCGTTTATGATATTGATGATATGTTCTTGATGATTGTGAGATGATTTTATGTGTGATCTTGATGATGACAAGAGGTTCTTGATGATTATGTGATGTTCTTGATGAATCTTGATGTTTTGATGATTAAGAGAAAACTATAATTTTATTGATTTGAATATGATTAGAGCCCTAGGTTAAAATTGGGAATTTCGTATTGTGTTATTCTTGGTATAATTGGGTGGGATTTCGCATGTTCGGGTGTTGATTTTGTTTAGAAGTCATGATAGGATATGTGCTATATGATTCTTGCTTTTGATCCGTTAATTGTCTACGTGGTGTCATCAATTGCGTTTAAAAGTGTCTAAGCATGGTTTCGGGTTCCACAACGGATCCCGGGACGTTTATTTTTGATAAAGAGTCAGTGGGGGGTAGGTGGGGGTAGGGGGACCCGCCACCTACCCGCTGCCCGAGAAGGGCGTCGCCGGCAGCGGGTAGCAGGCGGGCAGGCGACTGCCCGCCGGGCACCCGCTGCCCGGAGACCTAACGCCAGCGGGCAGCCGGCGGGTGGTTCACCACCCACCGGCTACCCGCTGGAAATTATCCCGACTCGGGACTCCGGCTTCCCCGTTTGACGTTTCCCCGACCCTCGTGGTGTCCCAACGGACTCCGTTTATCGTGCCTAAAGTCTAGTTTGATGTTTCGGGTACCATTCGTAGGATAAATGAGTCTTATATATGTATATATATGTTGCATGCTAGTGAAATTGGTATCCCGTTGGCCTAGGTGAAAGAAGTATGAACCCCTTAGGATTATTCCTAGTATGTGGATGACCACGCATAGGTTTCGTTATACATTTTCTCCCCTTTCCCAATGTGTTAATATGGGTTGCATGTGCTTGTTATGTGTTATGTGTGCATGTTACCCCAATTTGGTTGCGATCAAATTGGTTATTCCTGAGCTACGGTTCAGAAGCTGGCTGCGGTCATAATTATACTCTTGGGCTGCGGTCCACCATTTGGTTGCAATCAAACGTTTTACAAGAGCTGCGGTTCATATTCCTGGCTGCGGTCTGATGATCACTCTTGGGCTGCGGTCCACTGTTTGGTTGCGATCAAACATTATGATGAGCTGCGGTTCATCGGTCGGTTGCGATCGACCCCTTCGTATTGCGATACGAGGCAGGGTGCTGCGGGGCCGTGTCAGAGCTATATGCGCTGACCCTCATGTATGGGCATGCGATTGGTCCTGTGGCGCCACCAAAGTGTGCTTGTGTGTGATGAGATACGAATTGGGATGTTGATATGAATGAGATGAAGTGAATCTGTGACCATAGGATACATGCTAGTATCTTTATATGCTTGATTATAACTGTTGAATGTGCTTGTCCCTATCTGTCGAGTCTATTCTTGGTTTTAAAACTAGTGTCTCCTAAGTATATATCTTCCTGCTTCAAAATGGTTTTCGTATATATATATATATATATATATATATATATATATATATATATATATATATATATATATATATATATATATATATATATATATATATATATTTATATATATATATATATATATATATATATAATGTATTTCAACGCGTTGGAGTGGCTTACCAGCATCTCTCGCTGAACAGATATATTTGGCTTTCAGGCACAGACGAGTAGATCCCAGAGCGCGCTAGAAGATCGTGGATTAGATAGATAGTCTTTTCTATCGGCCTGCGTGCCATAATGATGTATTGAGGATATTAGTTAGTTTAGCCTGTGCATCTGAGTTCTCCAGCTCAGATGTGGCATAGCACCCCGTATACTTGTGATTAGTATTACTCTGTTTGAGATTTTATGAGAAATTACCTTTATTATATAAGCTTTAAAAGTTTCGAAAATCTGGGGTGTTACAGTTGGTATCAGAGCCTAAGTTTGACCCTAGGATAAGACTCTTAAGACCAGACTTTAGGACATTAGGCTTGAACTCTAGGTATTTAGGAACATAGGATTCAGGAATCTTAGGACGCGCAGTGAGATTGTGGGCCTACCTATCACCACATAACTTCCCCTCACTCTATCCTCCATTTAATTTAAAGAACTCTCCCCTTCGCTTACCGCATCAAGGTAAGGGTACAACACTCTAACTCGTCATTACAATAAACATTGGCCCGAAAAACCATCAGCATGACGCCAACAAGAAGTTAGTCAAAGACCCCTGATCCCTCCGCTCACAAATCTCTAGCTCAGAATCTACAACGACTAAACTCAGGTCGCCCAAGCACTAAAGCAACGCAATCATCCGTAAAAACAACCGACCACCACCACCAAGCGGGAACTCGGATTTCACTCGACAAATTTCAAATCATCGGCCACCCACCTTCTCAGGGGAGGAGTACCCCGCGATCCTCGTAGAATAAAGCCGAACCTTCAACAAAATCCTCGGGTTAGTGGAATGCCCGGGGGAACGCCGCATAGAGATAGCCTCATTCTACTTCAGACACGAGGCCGATCTTTGGTAGAAGGACCTACCTATAGGCGAGAACCGGGATTCAACTGGGAAACCCTGAAGGCTTGGTCACAGGGACATCTCTACCCCGCACATGAAAGGACAACCATGTAGCGGAATCCCTCCGCCTAAAACATGGATAACTACAGTGGTCTCGACTTCGAAACTCGAAAGACTTAAACCGTAACGGCTTACACTAGCACCGCTGATCTTCACCGAATCCAACTTCTACAATAGGGAAATTCAGGAACAAGACCCGGAAGGAGTAACGGGAGTGGGAAACTACCTGTAAGGAAAACTAGGTCACCAATTAGATGCAAGGAAATGAAGTAGTCTTTCCTTAATCTTTGGTGCAAATTGTCGGAAATGACTCGGCATCACAGGAAGAAGCAACAGACGCATGAAGAGTGTCGTACAACTAAGGCTTCCCTGCAATAAAGATCTCACCCTGCAAATGAGGACCTTGATGTTTTTAAGGCACCGTAAGAAGTACATGAAACACGCAAAATTGCCAAACGCTAGGCGACATCAATAGCATCCAATCAAATGCATTCCAAGGAAGAGAAAGGCATCACTAAGAATTTGGTCACTAAAGGATTAAACAGGGACCGGACGACAAATCAAACTTCAAGAAAAAAACCGAAAAGGCTTGCCATTAATCAAGACAAGAAAAGACAAAGTTGGCTGCGATCGACCCCTTCGTATTGCAATACGAGGCAGGGTGCTGCGGGGCCGTGTCAGAGCTATATGCGCTACCCTCATGTATGGGCATGCGATTAGTCCTGTGGCGCCACCAAAGTGTGCTTGTGTGTGATGAGATACGAGTTGGGATGTTGATATGAATGAGATGAAGTGAATCTGTGACCATAGGATACATGCTAGTATCTTTATATGCTTGATTATAACTGTTGAATGTGTTTGTCTCTATCTGTCGAGTCTATTCTTGGTTTTAAAACTAGTGTCTCCTAAGTATATATCTTCCTGCTTCAAAATGGTTTTCGTATATATATATATATATATATATATATATATATATATATATATATATATATATATATATATATATATATATATATATATATATATATATATATATATATATATATATATATATATATATATATCTATAATGTATTTCAACGCGTTGGAGTGGGTTACCAGCATCTCTCGCTGAACAGATATATTTGGCTTTCAGGCACAGACGAGTAGATCCCAGAGCACGCTAGAAGATCGTGGATTAGATAGATAGTCTTTTCTTTCGGCCTGCGTGCCATAATGATGTATTGAGGATATTAGTTAGTTTAGCCTGTGCATCTGAGTTCTCCAGCTCAGATGTGGCATAGCACCCCGTATACTTGCGATTAGTATTACTCTGTTTGGGATTTTATGAGAAATTACCTTTATTATATAAGCTTTAAAAGTTTCGAAAATCTGGGGTGTTACAATAATGTCCGAGTAATACATAAGAGTTGATCTTTATGTCAATGTTTGAAACTTTGAACTAATACGTAGTGACATTGAGTAATTTTTCTTCTCGAAAGTGATATGTTTCTTGAACTCATCGGTTACATAAATTTTAACTCTAATGCACACATCAACTCTCACAGTTGCAGGTTCTACGAAAATCAAACTCTTTGACTTCTCATGAATCCTTATCAAGTTTATCTCAATATAGACTTTAACTCTATCAAGTCTATCTCAATATATAGACCACCCATTAAAGGCTACAGAGTCACTAATGGTCATTTATTTTCACAAATTTGGTATAAGTCTTTCCATGATTTCATTTGACCACATAAGTGGTATCCTTCATGAATTCCTTACCTCACTGGTTTTAACATACCTCCTTTGATGTTTCAAGGATGGTCTTTTGGTTTAGACATTTTGTGAAAGGATATACAATATTCCTCTTAGATCTCACATACTCCATTGTGGTTTCTCCGGTAGCAATCAACTGTCGTACAGACTCAGTCTAACTCTTATGTGTCATCTCTTTCCATTGTAAACACTATTCTTTGCAACGCAAATGGTAGTTTGTGAATCACAGTGTATAGGTACAGAAGGTGTTAGACATTCCCACAATGGTATATCTGCCAACAGATTTCTTAACCACTCAGCTTCTTGGCTTGCTAGATCAAGTGTTATGAACTCTGCTTCCATAGTTGATTTAGCTATGCATGATTGTTTGGTTGATTTCCACGATATGGTTACTCCCCACATTGTGAACATGACAAAGCGTATTAGTGCGGTGGATGGAATGTAGGTTAGAGAATGAAGATTCCCCATGAATATCGTTCTCAAAGGATGTCATAATTGGAGCGATTGATGCATAGCGGATCACAAGTAAGTCATGAACCTACAAAGAGCTAAATCCACGTGTGTGCAAGAGCATTGTGTTCAAAGTAACAAGTGTGCAAAGATCAACTATTCAAGGACAAGAGCAATTAAACAAATCACTTAAAGAGAATCAAGTAGAATGAAATGGGCCTTGGATTAGCCTTTCCTTACATTAGTGCCTTAAAGTGTCTTAGATAAGAAATGCATAATGTGCTAATTGTGATTCAAGAGAGATGATTGTTATTGCCAATGTCATTTTAGGTCTCCTTGGCCTATTATGGAGTAATATAGCACCCAAGTACCCATGTTACCACCATGAGAGATTTTTTCGAACACTTTGCCTACACCTCATTCTGGACTTTGTTTTCTTAGATCTAAGGCGAGAAATGCAAGTACGTAGATTGAGGCCCTAGCTTAGTCCCAATATCTTTGCAACTAGGCTAATTCCTAGATCTTCCATGTGGTTGGGACCTAACCCCATGGAGATCAACAAAATTTTCTACTTCCATCAAGAATTCAAGCAATCAACACATATACATTTTTAATAGAAATTAATAATGAAAGTAGCACCATGCAAGCAAATGTTAATCAAATCCCTAAGAAAATCTAGCCACTAATGTTATAGATTATAAAGCAATTACAATTGAGCTAACAATGGAGATGGATGATGAATTAAAAGAGAAGAAATGTGATGTACGGGAAAGAGATGGTGAGTAACGGGTGTAAATTGTCGTTCCGCAAGGGATTGGGACTATGACACGTACTTGAGTGACAACTAAAATTCTAGGCACCAAAGTATTGAAGGCCACAAGAATCCAAGCAAATTCAAATTCAGGGTTGGGTAAAGTCAACAATTAAAGGCTAAAAATCTAGTTAAGACAATGCAATTTAAACACAAGTAAACACAATGATAAAAGATGGGCTCAAATTAGGGGATGTTGCCTTCTAGATGCTTTAACAACTTAGGGATTAGGGGAGAACATCAACCAAGGGAGCATAAGGGCAAAGCACATAAAAATCCTAGCTTAAAGCCATTTTCATAAGCTAAAGAACAAGGATTAGAGCAAGGCTTGCCCCACTTTCGTGGTGTATCAAGTCCTAGCTCTTAAAGCACATAAGCATTTAGGCCCCCAATTCTTCCCTATTTTCATAGAAAGAAAATGGGATTTAAGAAAGATGAGGCTTAAGTTCTTCACCCAACTTTCATTGTGGAGAAGAACTATCCAAAAGCAAGCTAATAAGAGTTACGTACCAAATATTAGCAAGATTCAACAAAAAACCAACTCAAACAAATGAACCCTAGGTTAGGGTTCTTCCCCCTTATGCAATAATCACCTATTTAGCATCTAGGTTGGCAATATCACCCTAATCCAAGCCCAAAAACGAACTACTCACACTTCATAAACATAAATAACAACAAAGCACAAGAAAGTATCATAAACATTGCACAAAAGCTTAAAAAGAAGAGTAAGAAACTTCTCTATTGAAGATGAAGATTTTGTGGTTTAATCCCATTCCAATCCATGATTACAAGCTTTGTAGATGAGTTAGAGATGAAATACTAGACTAATCTAAGCTAAGGAAATGAAAGGAAGTGAAAGATATGTTTTTGGGGTAAAAAATCCCCTTTTGAATGAGCAAAAACGAGCTGAGAAAAGTTGCAGAGGCCTGGCCATGGGTGTGGCTTCACCTGTGCCCAGAAAGGCAGTGTGTACTGCCCAGTGGCCACGGGTGTGGCCACGGGCGTGGCCAGACCCGTTGCCCCAAGGCAGTGTGCACTGTCTGTGCACTGAGTCTGTCTTCTAGGTCATTTTTCACCCTCTAAAAGTTTGAATTAGCATTTGGTGCTTGAATCAAAGTTGTAGCCCTTCAAGTTAGATTTCCAATGACATACTAATAACTTCAAATGGACATTTGTAGCTCAAGATATGATCCAAATACTATGACGTCGACGTGCAGGTCGGGAATTGCAATGCATTGATCTTTTGCTTCTTTTTTGCTTTGGTTTGCTCAAATGACCAAGACCATTCAAAGTACCACCATTATGCTTCCATGGAAGTGTTTTGCCCATCTCCATAGCTTCTCCTTGGCTCCCATGGACAGGGCCGGTCCTATCATTTTATAGGCCCGGCCGGGGCAGGACAAAAAAATGGGCCCCGATTAATATATATATTTCATGCCTAAAATTTAAATTAAATAAGGAAAAATTATGAATATCAATAACTTTAAATAAGATTAACAAGTTTTTAACAATTTTACATACACAATAATAATCATTGAAAAAAATTCTAGGTGCTTTCCTTAATGCAAAATAATAAATAATCGTATAAGTGCCTTCATAAATAAATAATTATTATATTTTATAAAGATGAATAAATAATTTAAAATCAAGTAAACTTATAAACAATAACATTGTTATCATAATTAATAATAAATTAATTATTATTAAAAATTGATAAAACAATAATTACAAACATATGTGAAGCTAAAAATCTTTTTTGACTAGGAGCAAGAAATTAAAATATTCCAAAACGCAATAAAAAAATGCGAAAAGATATGAAACACAATTATCTATATAAAATAGTTTGAACATAAAGCATATTATAAATCACACATCTTCTATATTATTTATATGATTTTTATAAATATTTTTTTCTTTTAAATACATAAATTTCAAATATTTTTAGAATAATTTTAATACAATGACACATGATAGAAGTTTCTATATTACATTGATTGGATATTCATAAAAAGGTACAGAGTAAATTATCTTTTAATTTTTTTTTTTTTTATAATTCAATCTCAAAATATATCATATAACCTCCTCCATCCTATTTTTACGTGTCTTGTTTGGTTGACATGAGTTGATTGAATTTTTTTTAATTCAATTTTTTATAATATGTTTAGTATAAGTATATAAAAATTTATAAATTTACAAACTGCATTAAAAATTTAATAAAAAGATTTATATATTTAATATAAAAAAATTTCATAATATGTTTAGTATAAATATATGAAAATTTATATATTTAAAAACTACATTAAAAATACTACTCCGTATTAAACACAAAAAAATCAATAAAAATATTTTTTTAAAAGATACATTAGAATATAAGCAAAGAAGTAAAGTTGAGGAATTCTAAAATGTGTAGAGAAGGTTTGGATCACCGGCCTTTGATTAAATGAGGTTAAAATTCAAATATCTTATCAACCAAGCTAATTTACCTTAATATAAAATATATGTATTTAAATTACTTATACTCAATACATATATCTACTATCTACTATACTAATAAGAGCCCAAGAGAGTTAGGCCTATAATGGGTAGAAAAAATGGCGGTCACAGATTTTAATCAAATGAATGGCTCAGATTGATTAAAAGATTGATCAGATTTAATTTTACCCTAAAATTTCTTAAAATACCCACACACCGTTACTAATTCCGTTAAAATTTTAAGAATTGCCGTTAGTTCACCATTAACTTACTCATTGATTTCAATAAAAAAAAAGTTTTAGGTTCGAACCTCATCCCAATCAAAGTTGGCATAATTAGTAATCTATTTTACTCTAATTAAGTTATATATATAAATAATAATTTAGTAGTTACAACAAAAAATAATACATATGCATTTCTTTAATTTAGAATTATGTGTCCACAATGCCTTTATTCAAAAAAAAAAATATTCATTATCAATAAATTAAATAAGAGAAATAATTTTATTAGTTATATTGTCTTTATTTTTCTTCAATATAAAAAATTCTTTATATTCAAATTTATTAATTGATTATATTCGCTACATTGTCCTTACAATGTCTTTATTCAGTGAAAAAAATTATTAATTATCAATAAATTAATTAAAAGAAATATTTTCATTAGTTATATTGTCTTTATTTTTCTCAAATGTAAAATTTTTTACATTCAAATTCATCAATTGATTATATTCACTACATTATCTATTATCTTTTTTGTGCACTATTTTTCTAATTAAATATCAAAGTTATAATACAAAATAATGCTATATATTTATTTACCAAGTATTTTATTAATACCATGAAAAAATTACAAAAATATAATTAATAAAGCCAACCATATTAACTACTTGAGAGATTTTGTGACAAAGAGAGTATTCAAATCACACAACAAATTGAAGTGAGAACTACCTCGCAATGTCCTTGTTTGACAATCAGCGGTTAGCGTTAGCGAATTATACTAGCGGATTTGACTAGCGAATTTATTCAATTATTAAAATTGGGTAGAAAAAATGATCGCCAAATTATTAAATCAAATGAATGGTTCATATTGTTCAGGTTTTAATTTTTTTCTTTTAAGATTTTCTAATTTATCCTTAATTATATGATTATCCATTTAACTTTTCCGTTAATTCACCGTTAGTCTAATTCTAATATTAAAGTCTAATATAGAATTATAACTACACCATTAATCTAATTCTAATATTAAAATCTTAATAGAACTTAACCACAAATCCTAATGTCGGAATCTCCTCAAACAATATTAGTATATATTTAATATTTTATGCCCTAATTTTTATTTGTTCCCCCTTATGTCCCGTATTTGGTTTCAACTATACCTATACAATTATTTTATTGACAATTATAATCAATCTTGACTATATTATCTTGCATTTGTAAACTTAGAATTACCTATTTAACTCGCACGGGCTTAGCTCAATGGTTTAGTGGGTAGTATTTGGGAGAAGAGACCAAGGTTTGAACCTCGGCGGCGGCAGTGCGGGAATTATGTCCAAAGTGGGCAGATTCCTTGTGCGTATCAGCATTTGGCCCTGTCTGGTGAACCATTAAGTCACCGTGATTTACAATTTCCCACAATGCTCTGTCGGGTCGGAGTGTGGGGGCCCCCTGGGGTTGGGACTCAACCTTTGGGAGAAGAATTACCTATTTAAATACGCAAATTCAACCTTCAATTATCTATGCATGAACAATTTCAATATAATCCTGCCTTAATATACTTTAAAGTACTTATTTAACAAAAAAACATTGGGCATTATCCCAATCGCGCAATGTGTGTAAAAAACTAGTACTATATATATAAGAGATAGGATGGGGCCCTCCCCCAAGCATGGGCCCTGGGCAAGGGCCCAGCCTGCCCTTGCCCCAGGACCGGCCCTGCCCATGGACTCCTAATGCATCCAAAATGCTCCATTTGACTCCAATATCCACCAAAATGCCTGAAAATACTCATCTTTGTTTCCAAACAAAACTCCTTGCAAAATAACACAATTTAATCATAATCTTATGAAATTTGGAATGGTCTATAAGCAAAATGGCTTAGTGAAAGGGGGAAAATATAGACAAATAAGCAGTTATCAACTCCCCCACACTTAAACATTTGCTTGTCCTCAAGCAAAGACAATAAATAAATCACCAACCTAGCATTGAAATTGATCACACTCCCACTTTGCACAACCTATCAAACCACAAACCAACTTGCTACAAGACAACTTGTTTCAAGAATCATTTTAGCCTTCTACACAAGTTCAATTCTCAAGCCAATAACCAAGCACCAAAATTATTTAAGTGTATGATGATCAAGTGTGCACAAATGCTAAGTTGAGATTATGCAAAACTTGGCTTTGAATGAGATTCCATAGGCTTGCCCTTCATACTCCCACTAGTTCAACTCTAAGATTGCATGCTAAGATCAAGTAGGTCTTTATTAGGCTTAGGCTTGTAATGGGGCTAAGGGTGAATGGCTAACAATGAAGGGGTATGGAAATAAACAAAGGAGAGAATTTTACATTTATTCACAATTGAGGCTAGAAGAGATATGACAACTATAAACTAAGGAGCAATTACAATGGAACACAAAGCAACACTCTAAAGAGGTGGGGGTTGAGTACAACTTTCAACACAAACTATAATCAATCTTCAAACTTTTATTCTTGTTCCTTTTCTTTTCATTTTTCTCATTTAATCTCTTTTTCAAGACTTTTTTTCTCAATTTTCTCATCATTCTTTTTTTTTTTCTTTTCTTTAATTCAACACAATAAACAAACTTATTTCATGAACCAATACCCCTACACTTAGACAAAATTATCAAGAGTATTGCTAACAAAACAAGCTCCAATAAAGATCTCTTCAAAGAAAAAGAATAAATGTTCTATTCTCTCAAGGGTGGAGGGAAATATTTTGGCTAGGGGTTAAGGGTTAAATGATGAGGGTTAACACAAGGAAAAACAATCACAATGAATGGACAAGTGCTTAGCACTTATTAAACAAACACAAAAGGCTCAACGGGGACAACTAGTGGTAAACACATGTGTAAAGGGTAGGCTTGAAAGTCTCGGGCTAAACAAAAATGGCCTAAATCATTTCAAAAACATGCAAACCTTAGACTTCACACGAGGAGTAATGAGGCAAGTTCTAGCAAAACAACCGTGACCGGAATCTCACATAAGCTTTCACTAGCAATTCATAACACACAAGATCAAGAATTGATTCAATTATTAAGTGGTTAACAAGGCTATTGGCAAGAGAATAGATCAATCATGTATTACCCCTTGGCTCATCAATGACAAGTTGAATTGCAACAAGTTCCCCCAAAACAAACCACAAACCAACAAAGAGGGAGTAATCACAACTTCAAGCAAGGAAAGACAATTTACCAAACACTATGCACAATGAGTCATCCAAGCAAAGTTTCAAAAAGTTTCAAAATTTCAAAAAAAAAATCAATATTTTGTCCACCCCCCACACTTAGAAATTACATCGTCGTCGATGTAAAAGAAAATAAAGCACAAGGGGGAAAAGGTAGCACAATAAGCACAAGTGAGAGCATGATATATCAAAAATAAAAGTGTAAAGAAAATAAAGAAGAAAGTAAAGTGCAATAAAATGAAAGATAACATGGGGTGCCTCCCATGAAGCGCTACGTTTAACGTCGCTAACTCGACTTGACCTTTTGTGTTCAAGTGTATGAGGGATAGAAGAGATCCCAAACCACATTAGCCTCCTTTTCTTTGAATTCCGGCTCATTGAAGAGCTTCAACCTTTGCCCATTCACCATAAAAGGATCTCCCGACTTAGCCACAATTGAAACAGCGCCCGATGGGTAATGTTCCACTACTCGGAAAGGGCCCGACCACCTCGACTTGAGTTTACCGGGAAACAACTTGAGTCTTGAATTATAGAGTAACACTTGGTCACCCGGTTCAAAGTTCCTCCTCAAAATTCTCTTATCATGAAAGTACTTGGTCTTTTCCTTGTAGATCCTTGCATTCTCATAGGCATCCATCCAGAATTCCTCAAGCTCATTCAAGTGTAACAACCTCTTCTCTCTTGCCAAGTCCTCATCCAAATTCAAACTTGAAACTGCCCAATATGCCTTGTGTTCATACTCAACCGGCAAATGACATGACTTCCCGAACACAAGTTTAAATGGAGAAACACTAATAGGAGTCTTGAATGCGGTCCTTAGGGCCCATAATGCATCATCTAGCTTCAAAGACCAATCCTTTCTTGTTGGACTCACAACCTTTTCAAGAATAGATTTGATTTCCCTATTGGCCAACTCTACTTGCCCACAAGTTTGTGAATGGTAGGGCGTAGAGAGCCGGTGATGAATACCATATTTGAGAAGAAGTTTCTCCAAAAGCTTGTTGCAAAAATGTGTGCCATTGTCGGTTATGAAAGCTCTTGGCATGCCAAACCGGGAGAATATGTTCTTCTCGACAAACTTGAGCACGGTCTTTGAGTCATTCCTCGGAGTTGCAATTGCTTCTACCCACTTTGACACATAATCCACCGCTACAAGGATATACTCATTCCCAAAAGAAGGAGGAAATGGACCCATGAAGTCCATCCCCCACACATCAAACAACTCCATTTCAAGTATACCCTTTTGAGGCATCTCATGTCTTCTTCCAATATTGCCGGTCCTTTGGCATTTGTCACACTTACGCACAAACTCTCTAGCGGTAGCAAACAAAGTAGGCCAAAATAAACTGGATTGTAGCACTTTTAGAGCCATGCGGTCGGCACTCATGTGTCCTCCATATGGTGAAGAGTGGCAATGGCTCAAAACACTTAGAAATTCCTCCTCCGGTATGCACCTTCTCACAATTCCACCGGCACATCTCTTAAACAATAGGGGCTCATCCCAAAAGTAATCTCTCACATCATGCAAAAATCTCTTTTTCTTGTTGAAATTGAAATCCTTTGGGATGTACCCGCTCACAAGGTAATTCACAATGTTCGCGAACCAAGGCACATAATTTCTTCCCAATTCACTCAAAATGAAAAGTGTTTCTCCCTTGAATGAGTCATCAATTGGCAACTCATTTTCCTTGTGTCTTTCAAGTCTTAAAAGGTGGTCCGCCACAACATTCTCGGAGCCTTTTTTGTCTCTTATTTCCAAATCAAACTCTTGAAGAAGAAGAACCCAACGGATCAACCTCCGCTTGGCATCTTTCTTTTGGAACAAATACTTCAAAGCCGCATGATCGGTGTGAACTATCACCTTGCTTCCCATGAGATAAGACCGGAATTTGTCCATGGCAAACACCACCGCTAGGAGCTCCTTCTCGGTTGTTGCATAATTCACTTGGGCTTCATCAAGTGTATGCCTTGCATAGTGGATCACATGATAGCTCCGGTTCCTCTTTTGGCACAACACCGCCCCAACCGCATAGTCGCTTGCATCACACATTAACTCAAACGGGAGACTCCAATCGGGGGGTTGAATGATGAGAGCATGGCATAGGGCCTCCTTCAACTTGTCAAATGCTACAAGGCAAGACTCATCAAAATGAAAATCAACATCTTTGGCAAGCAAATGAGTAAGGGGCTTTGCAAGCTTGGAAAAATATTTTATGAATCTTCTATAGAACCCGGCATGCCCAAGAAAACTTCTCACTCCCTTCACGGTGGTCGGCGGTGGCAATTTTGATATGACTTCTATCTTTGCCGGGTCCACCTCAATTCCTCTTGCCGAGACCTTGTGCCCAAGAACTATTCCTTCGGTTGCCATGAAGTGGCACTTCTCCCAATTTAGCACGAGATTCACCTCTTTGCACCTACACAAAACTTTGTCAAGATTGATTAAACATTCATCAAATGACTTCCCATAAACGGAGAAGTCATCCATGAACACCTCCATGATCTCTTCCACCAACTCGGAGAAAATAGCCATCATGCATCTTTAAAAAGTGGCCGGCGCGTTACACAAACCAAATGACATCCTTTTAAAGGCAAAGGTGCCATATTGGCATGTGAAGGTGGTCATCTCTTGGTCCTCGGGGTGGATAGAAATCTGAAAATATCCTGAAAATCTATCTAAGAAGCAAAATTATTTGTTTTTGGACATTCTTTCAAGCAATTGGTCAATAAATGGGAGGGGATAGTGATCCTTCCTAGTAGACTTGTTCAATTTTCTATAATCAATGCACATTCGGTGCCCGGTAACAAGTATAGTAGGAATCAACTCATTATTCTCATTTTCAATTATCGTTATACCGCCCTTTTTCGGAACAACATGTATGGGACTAACCCACTTGCTATCCGAAATAGGGTATATAATGTCGGACTCAAGCAACTTTATAATCTCTTTCTTTACCACATCTTTCAAGTTAGGATTCAACCTCCTAAGGGGCTCCACAATGGGCTTGGCATTGTCCTCTAAATAGATTCTATGCATGCAATACTTAGGATCAATGCCAATCAAATCCCCAATTGTGTACCCAATTACCCTCCTATGTTTTCTAAGCACATTAAGCAATTTATCAATTTAATCATTGTGCAAAGAAGAGTTAATAATCACCGGGTAAGTAGAGTTAGAGCCAAGAAAAGCATACCGGAGATTTGGAGGTAAAGGTTTTAATTCTACCTTTGGGGCATGCTCCTCTCCAAGGGGTTCAAGAATGGCAAGAGCTCCCGTTATGTTTTCAAAGTTTCTTCTCCACTCTTGCATGCCAAGGTCCACCTTGATTTGGGTGCACTCTCCCAACTTTTCAAAGAAATTTCCCACAAGAGAGCTTCCTTGATTATCTCCTCCAATCCCAAGCACCTCTCCAACACATTCTTCTATGGCTTCCACCATGTTGCACTCATCAATGTAAGAAGGTTGGTGTTTGGCCATCTTGAAGATGTCAAACTCAATTTTATGGTCGGCTACCTCCATCACAAGCTTCCCTCTTTTGACATCTATGATTGCCCCGGCGGTGACTAGAAATGGTCTACCAAGGATTATTGGAACCTTGGCATCCTCCTCTATGTCAAGAATCACGAAATCTCCCGGGATGTAGTATTAATCAATCATGACCGGGATATCTTCAAGTACTCCCACCGGGCGCTTGATGGAACGGTCCGCCATTTGGAGTGTCATGGTAGTGGGCTTGGGCTCTCCAAGATTGAGCCTCTTGCATAGAGAGTATGGCATAAGGCTCACACTAGCCCCAAGATCACACAAAGCATGGCTCACCACAAATCCTCCAACAATGCAAGGGATAGAAAAACTTCCCGGATCTTTCAACTTAGGAGGCAAATTCTTTTGGAGAACGGCACATGTCAAAGCTCCCTCACTAAGGTCCACTACCGCACTCTTCTCCAATCTCTTCTTGTTACTCAAAATATCCTTCAAGAATTTTTTGTATGAAGGTATTTGAGTAATGGCTTCCACAAAGGGCATAGAAATCTCCAACTTATCAAGCATTGTTTTAAACTTGTTTTCTCTCTCGGTTTCTTTTGTTTTCCACAACCTTTGTGGAAATGGCAACAAGTTGCAAGGAATCACCGAGTCATCTATTTACTTACCCTTGTTCACATTCTTCTTACTTGAGTTGGTTCCTTCTTGAATTGGCTCCTTCCCTTTTGACTTGTTTCTTTGAATTAGAGGTTCATCATCATTTTCACTTTCAAGAATTTTTTCAATTTCCTCTTCATTTGGCCTTTCTTCATCTTCATCTTTCTCAACATCTTCTTCAAGTGTAAGATCATTAGAAGGGAAATGTGGATCTTTCAAAGATTTTCCACTTCTAGTGGTGATGGCGTTGACATGATTTCTAGGATTTTCGGTGTTAGCCGGAAGTCTACCACTAGAAGATGAGGCTTGTGTAGACCCTTCAGTGCCTCCTCCTTGATTTTGGGCTTGTAGATTCTCCATTTGGGATTGCAACTTGCTAATTTGAGACATCATCATATTCATTAATGTCTTCATGTCCGCATCTTGAGAAGATTGGGAAGATCCTTGTTGAATTTGATTGTTCCCAAGTCCTTGATTTTGTTGCCCATGTCCTTGGTTTCCTCTCCATTGTTGATTCTATTGATTTCCACCTCTATTTCCTTGATTTCCTTGAAAACCTGGAGGTGGATTTCTTACTTGCACACCTTGATTGTTCCAAGAATACCCACATTGATTTCTTCCTTGTTGACCATAATTTCCATATCCTTGCCCTTGATTTTGAGGTCTAGAGTACCCAATCATATCCACTTGCTCCATGTTTGGTAAAGAGCTTTGACCACTAGGGTCCAACAATAGACAAGCTTGAGAAGCATGAGCTCCACCACATGTAGCACAACAGGCTACCATTGCCATGCTTTGAGAACCGGGAGAATTGTAAGTAGCTTGTGGCAAGGAATAAGGAGTAGACATGTAGGATGCTTGAGGAAGAGTTTGAGTTACCGCTTGCACATTTTGCTTTGGAGCTTGCATCATATTCTTGAGCATGTGTTGAATTGAATCCAATTGAGCTTGCATGGCCATCTTTTCTTCAACCTCAAACATCCCGGCGGTTTTTTCTTTCTTGGGTGGGTCACTTCTTTCATCATACCAATATGCCGTGTTGGAAGTGATCCTCTCAATCAATTGTTCACCATACTCCGGACCAATATCAATAAAAATGCCTCCAAATGAAGATGTGTCAAGAATGGTTTTTGAGCTATCCAACAATCTCTCATAAAAGGATGAGATGAAATCCCCCGGAGTTAGCAAATTCTTTGGACATTGTCTCCTCAACTCCTTAAATCTTTTCCAAGCTTCATACAAATTCTCATTTCCAAATTGTTGGAAATTTTGAATTTGTTTCTTCAATTTGGCGGTCTTGGAAGGAGGGCAATACTCTTGCATGAAGGCCTTGTAAAGTTGTTCCCAAGTTGTAAAGTGGTTGGCCGGAAAGGAATTGAGCCAACTCAATGCTTGGTCTCTCAATGAAAAAGGGAATAGCCTCAACTTGATTGCATCACTAGGAATCCCATTCATCTTGATTGTTTGGCAAATCCGATCAAAGTGGACAACATGAGCCTTAGGATCCTCAACCCTTGAACCTCCAAATTGATTGGCTTGAACCATTTGGATAAGAGAAGTCTTGAGTTCAAAATTATTGGCATCCACCCCCGGGTAAACAATGCAATCCTCTTCTTCAAACTCCGGAGCTAGATGGGCCGCCATGGGTTGTCTTTGTGGAACACCTTGATAGAAAATAGGAGGAACTCCTTGTGGAAAGTTTTGAGGCATGTTGAATATAGGATTGGCAAAGTTGGGGTTCATTTGGTGAAGAAGATTTTGCATACCAACCCCTTGGCCTTGTTGTTGTTGTTGAGGTTGCCCATACCCTTGAGGAATGCCCCCTTGATTCATGTTAGGATAAAATGGGTATTGAGCTTGTGGAAACCCCATTCCTCCTCCAACATAAGGATTGACATTATGATTTGCCATGAAGTTTTGTGCCGGTATTTGAACGGGAGCAATTGGCACTTGAGAGACATTAACATGAGCTTCATTGAATTCCTCTTGTCGGGCTATGTTGGGTGCTTGTATCATTGGGAGAGATTTGACCGGGATTGCTAGTGTCACCCGTCTCCATGTTTATCTCCAATGATCCAAACTCCTTCAACCAACCGAGCAAGTCTCTTCTTTGTCTCCTTAGCTCCCTAGAGAGTTCTTGGTTGAAAGGGTGAAGGTCTTGGCTCCCTTTAGACCTAGTTTGCATGCACCAAGAGAAGTACCTACAACCAAACTCAAGCAAAGACAACTTTGGAAGCACTTAGTCACAATTTAAAACAAATTAACAAAAGAAAATAAAAGAAAATAAAAACTTGATCTCCTTCGAGTTCACTAACTCTAATGCTAGAAAGAAAAAGCAATCACACAATACAACCAAATAAACCAATCCACGGCAACGGCGCCAAAAAGTTGATGTACGGGAAAGAGATGGTGAGTAACGGGTGTAAATTGTCGTTCCGCAAGGGATTGGGATTATGGCACGTACTTCAGTGACAACTAAAATTCTAGGCACCAAAGTATTGGAGCCCACAAGAATCCAAGCAAATTCAAATTCAGGGTTGGGTAAAGTCAACAATTAAAGGCTAAAAATCTAGTTAAGACAATGCAATTTAAACACAAGTAAACACAATGATAAAAGATGGGCTCAAATTAGGGGATGTTGCCTTCTAGATGCTTTAACAACTTAGGGATTAGGGGAGAACATCAACCAAGGGAGCATAAGGGCAAAGCACATAAAAATCCTAGCTTAAAGCCATTTTCATAAGCTAAAGAACAAGGATTAGAGCAAGGCTTGCCCCACTTTCATGGTGTATCAAGTCCTAGCTCTTAAAGCACATAAGCATTTAGGCCCCCAATTCTTCCCTATTTTCATAGAAAGAAAATGGGATTTGAGAAAGATGAGGCTTAAGTTCTTCACCCAACTTTCATTGTGGAGAAGAACTATCCAAAAGCAAGCTAATAAGAGTTACGTACCAAATATTAGCAAGATTCAACAAAAAACCAACTCAAACAAATGAACCCTAGGTTAGGGTTCTTCCCCCTTATGCAATAATCACCTATTTAGCATCTAGGTTGGCAATATCACCCTAATCCAAGCCCAAAAATGAACTACTCACACTTCATAAACATAAATAACAACAAAGCACAAGAAAGTATCATAAACATTGCACAAAAGCTTAAAAAGAAGAGTAAGAAACTTCTCTATTGAAGATGAAGATTTTGTGGTTGAATCCCATTCCAATCCATGATTACAAGCTTTGTAGATGAGTTAGAGATGAAATACTAGACTAATCTAAGCTAAGGAAATGAAAGGAAGTGAAAGATATGTTTTTGGGGTCAAAAATCCCCTTTTAAATGAGCAAAAACGAGCTAAGAAAAGTTGCAGAGGCCTGGCCACTGGTGTGGCCACAGGCGTGGCTTCACCTGTGGCCAGAAAGGCAGTGTGTACTGCCCAGTGGCCACGGGCGTGGCCAGACCCGTGGCCACAAGGCAGTGTGCACTGTCTGTGCACTGAGTCTGTCTTCTAGGTCATTTTCACCCTCGAAACGTTTGGATTAGCATTTGGTTCTTGAATCAAAGTTGTAGCCCTTCAAGTTAGCTTTCCAATGACATAAGAATCACTTCAAATGGACATTTGTAGCTGAAGATATGATCCAAATACTATGACGTCGACGTGCAGGACGGGAATTGCAATGCATTGATCTTTTGCTTCTCTTTTGCTTTGGTTTGCTCAAATGACCAAGACCATTCAAACCACCACCCTTAGGCTTCCATGGAAGTGTTTTGCCCATCTCCATAGCTTCTCCTTGGCTCCCATGGACTCCTAATGCATCCAAAATGCTCCATTTGACTCCAATGTCCACCAAAATGCCTGAAAATACTCATCTTTGTTTCCAAACAAAACTCCTTGCAAAATAACACAATTTAATCATAATCTTATGAAATTTGGAATGGTCTATAAGCAAAATGGCTTAGTGAAAGGGGGAAAATATAGACAAATAAGCACTTATCAAAATGTAGGAAATTTATTTAGCTTCAAGAGCAATTACAATCAATCCAACAAGATATCCAATCAAGCAAGAAAAAGCTCCAAGATCAAGATGAGTTGTCAATTCACTTAGAACACTAGAGCTACTTTCTCTCTAAAAAATTGGAGATTTTGTAGGGATGTGACGAAAAGTGGAAAAGAAAAACTAAAGTCTAAATGTAAAGTCAACTTCATCAATCACTTAAATACTTCGCGCCCAGGATGCACGACGTGATCCATGATCGTGATTCCCGTCGTGCATCGTTGGAACATTAAATCACGAGCGTGGATCTTGGCATGCAACTCTCTGATATTTTTCCACATCCAGTTCCATGAGCGTGGACTCGGTTGTGATCCTTGCTGTTGTGGGACTTCTTCCAATTATGCTCCAAATCTTGTCCAAATGCTTTTAATTCAGCCCAAAATCCTATAAAACACCAAAATACACTCACCGTTACTCCATGTACCTCAATTATACAAATTTGCATCAAATAGCATCTCAATCAAACACAAAGAACACCAATTAAGACTAAATAACCCCAAGTTGACCCCTAGAAAGATGTATCTTTGGCACTCATCAAAACACATCCATTGGAGGAGCTAACATCCTCACTGTTATGGACCCAATGTGCATCACAGAACCCCTCCATTACTGCTGGAAATCCTGTATACTCAAGACCCTAGTCCATTGCACCTTTGATGTACTGAAGCACTCGTTTCAGTGCTTTCCAGTGTGAATCACTTGGGTTGTGTGTATAGCGAATGAGTTTATTCACTGCAAAAGAAATATCATGTATAGTATAGTTTATTAAAATATTAGGCATTTGATTACTTTTACATATTCTTCTTGAGATACTCTTATCTCCATATTTTTTGACAATTTTATACTAGGATCATATGAGATTTTTGTTGAGGTTACATCAAAACTATTGAACTTCTTTATTAGTTTCTCCGTATAGTGACTTTGTGAAAAATGATAACTGATGGATACCAAGCATGGGGTACCCGGTTGGACCACCTAGCAACCAATTGGGCGTGACACTCAGACTCGACAATCAACACTCACGTGACCAACCAGTCAGTTTTGAAACCCTAGTTAAATTACCCAAAACCCCTCCATAACCCTCAAATAATTACCTTTTATTACTCATTCATTACCCTATTAAATCTCCCCCATTATTACCCATGAAACCTATTAATCACCTATTTATTTTCTCATTTAAACCCACTAAAAACCCATTAGTTGGAGGGAGCCTAGACTATTCATTCTACTAGTATCTCTTGACTGTGCACTCGCATGGAATAATGAGCAGTGGCAGACTGCTTCACGGAAATAGCTCTAGGAAAACTATCTGAGTGGTGTTCTTAACTTCGTGATTTATTTTGTAGCGTGTGCCTTATGATGTACATAATTGTAATATTTATTGTACTAAAAACAAAAAGATGAAGAAAAACCTCCTGGTCGATCAAGTTGCCGGTCGAGTCAAGACTGACTCGGGTGGTCTAACCAGCTCTTTAAACTAGTCTGCGTGAGTTCAGGTTTAGCCAGCCTTATAAATGGTTTGAGCAAAATGAGTGAGTAAACCCAGGTCTTGGCTAGCCCTTTGAATGGTCCAATGGGTTAAGGTCTTGGATTGACCTTTGAGTAATTTGAGCAAACCTCGGTCTTGGCCTTCCGTTTAAATGGTCCAAGGGGTTAAAGTCTCAGATTGACCTTTGAGTAATTTGAGCAAACCTTGGTCTTTGAATGGTCCAATGGGTTAAGGTCTCGGATTGACCTTTGAGTAATTTGAGCAAACCTCGGTCTTGGCTATCCGTTTAAATGGTCCAAGGGGTTAAGGTCTCAGATTGACCTTTGAGTAATTGACCGAGTAAAGGTTCGAGACGAACCATGTTGAGATTGAGCAAAACAATTGAGCTTGGGTCTCAGCCAGGCCGTAAAATGGTGCGGTAAAACTGAGTAGCCAGTCACCCCCCCGAACGCGGGACGGTTGGTTGATTTTTACTAGTCTTCTTTGAATTTATGCAGGCTGGAGAACGTGAAACGCTGACGGACTGTCTCATAGAAAGTAGGAGTGAACTAACTTAGGATATATATTTTAATACTTCATCCGTCCCATTTTTCTGTCTTACTTTCCTTTTTAGTTTTTCCCATAATGTTGTCCACTTTCCAAAATTAAACACCACTATCATTATACTTTTCCAAATTTGCCCCTATATATATTTCGTACTTTTATGTTAATTTATTGTACTTTGAACTATCTAGTACATATTGTAGTAAAAATGATAAGACTATTTTTATTCATTTTACCTACTTTTCTATTCTTTATTTAAACAACCAAGATAATTTTGTTTTTCAATTTAAATCTTTCATTCTTGATGAGCTAAATTAGTGATGAGCATTCTTACCGAAAAAAATGACGAAATCAACAACCGATATCGAATCGATAAAAAAAAATTAGATCAATTATCGGTTACTCCGTATTAGTTTTAATTGATAAATTTGTGGAAAAAATTCGTTATTTGATAAACAAATTATGAACATTCAAAATTTTGATTATTTGATAAATTGATTTTAAATGGGTTATGAGAGCTAAATTAGTGGTGAACATTCTTACCAGACAAAAAAAAAAAAAAAAAAGACGAAATCAATAAACCGATATCGAATCGATAAAAAAAATTTGATCAATTATCGGTTACTTCGTATTAGTTTAAGTTGATAAATTTGTGGTCAAAAAATTTCCGTTATTTGATAAACCAATTGTGAACGTTCAAAATTTTGATTATTTGATGAATTATTTTAAAAGGGTTATGAGAGCTAAATTAGTGGTGAACATTCTTAACGGGAAAAAAATGACGAAATCAATAACCGATATCGAATCAATAAAAAAAAATTCGATCAATTATCGGTTACTCCGTATTAGTTTTAATTGATAAATTTGCGGTTAAAATTTTTTCGTTATTTGATAAACCAATTGTGAACGTTCAAAATTTCGATTATTCGATGAATTAATTTTAAAAGGGTTATTTAAAAGGGTTATGAGAGCTAAATTAGTGGTGAGCATTCTTACCGAAAAAATGACAAAATCAATAATCGATATCGAATCGATCAAAAAATATTTCTGACCAATTATCGGTTACTCTAAAATAGTTTTAATTGATAAATTTCCGATCAAAAAATTTTCGTTATTTGATAAACCAGTTATGAACGTTCAAAGTATCGATTATTCGATGAGTTGATTTTAAAAGGGTTATAAACATAAGTAGAGCACTGCACATTTCTAAGAATCCATCAACAATAGTTACTATAGCTCGAGCAATTGTATATCTGAAAAAGAAAGGAAGCAAAGGATCTGAAGCACAAGAAGCAAGAAACAGAATGTTGCTAACAATAAAACCTGCAAAATTAAGAAGTAAAGGGAAGTGAATTTGATGGTGCATTTGCTAGTGAAGGGGTTGTTGCTATCCTTTGAGACCATTGGAGTAGTAAAAAGTAAACTAAGAAAAATCATTCCATTCTGGACCTGAGACTGCTTCTTTGTACATTCTGCAACACTTAAAATAGATTATATGAATATCAATTTATACAATGGATAAGCATTTAAAAAGGCATTGCAACACTTAATTACAATCCTCCTGATGAACAGATTAAATTTTGCACTAATTACACAATACACAAGCATTTTTAAAAAGCATTGCAACCCTTAAATAGATTACATTGATCAATTTATACAAAATGAGCAAAATAGACTATAATCATCGTAGTGTCTCCTGCCATACACTTCAAACAAAATACAGTACATTACAAAAGCAAAGCAGTGCTAGAAACAAATGTTCACCAAAAATACAACTACAAGTACACGTCATACCGAACAACCTCATTTTCAGTACTTTACTGCTAGAGACTTGAAATTGCTTCAGTTAGGACTTCTGAATCACAAGAAATAGTGGTAGGTAATAGGCCTTCCCGTGCTAACTTTTGCTTATTTATGTGTGGTAGCTTATAATTGTTCCCTCCGAACTTTTTCATAACTTCAACCATACATAGTTGCAATGTTAAGAAAATCATTACTGAGACTTTCTACTGAAATCTCATTAAAGGCTTTAAGAGTAGCAGCAACTAGTCCATCCACATTGCGAGGAGCTTATTGATGTTGCAAAGATTGAAGAGCTCTAAAAAACCCAAGATCCAATACATTCATGTCTGGACTGTTTGGAGGCTGACAAGTTAAGTGAATATCAAAGCCATCTTTCTTTGCAGCCTCCAAAAATTCAGCATCATTCATAGTAATATGTGGCCTTGCATTATCTTGTTGAATATATATAGTCTTTGAACTACTTGGAGGCCATTTTGCTCGTATTGCAGGCAATACATAGTCAATCAACCATTTTCTTGTAACTTCTTTATTTACAGATTCGATAGGCTTAGTTTCTAAGGTTCCATCTTCCCGGTTCTTACTTCTACGCTTAGTTGGTTCTTTATAAACAAATGAGAACATCCCAATTTTCCCATCAAACATTTCGTTTCTTTCTAAATCAAACTGAGGGCGAGCAACAGCACAAAGAAACATAACTTTTGTTATAAATTTTTTACTTTTACAAGTACGATATGGTTCATCTTCATTGGGCTGCAAGTAATATTTTTGAGAAGTTCTTGAGAGGAAAAACCATTTTTCATCTATATGCACACGGTCATACATATCTATGAAACATGGATTATTATGAGGCGAACTTGATTCAATCATAGATATGCAGAATTGCAATCTTACCTTCCTATTTTCCTCTATTAACATAGGCTTGATAGCATTTGAGTGGGATTTCAAAGATCCATCTTTAACTCTCCGGTGAAGGCTTGTTTTTTACATGCTTAGTGCACTAGCCATAGAACGAATTGTTGTCCGGCGATTCAACGGGATTCTAGCAACATCTTCGGGATTAATCGCAATGCTTTTCCTTCCAACATTACCTGACAAGTTTAAAGAAATGTTAACTGGAACACCATTTGCAACACATGCAATCCCTTTTTTCCATATTCTACTAACAGTTCTTGTAGAAGCAGAGTACATATTTGCAACAACTTTGATTGAACCATATTTTACTTTTCCATCCACACTGTGTTTTAACAAAGTTTCAAAAATAACATTCCTCTTATCCTTGAAACATCTCATGCCTAAGTGAACACCATTAGAACTCTCTTCAGGTATAGAGTCCTTTAGCATACAATTTTTTTTTTAAATATAGAAAACCTCTCTGTTATGAAGTACTCTGAGAAAGAAATCAAAAAGGCTTCCTACAAACACTCTATATATACAGAGTACTAAGTAATCTATTGACTAAAAGGTAAACAAAATAGAGTATTTTAATCTGTAAATGTCATATCAAAAATTGGCGGAAAATTTTGCCACTATTTTTTCTCAATCTTGGGTTGCTTATTGCATATATAGATAGAAACTACAGAGTAGTACATAATTTTTTTTTTTTGAGAATTACAGACTATAAAAACGAGTGCTATGTATACTCATCAAAATTGAGAAAATTGAGTACTCTGTAAAAATAAAAAATAAATAAATAAAAAGAGGAAAAAAAAAAGGAGATTCAAAATTACAGATTTTCTTCGTGCTTTGTATTTCAATTTGTAGGATTTGAGATTCAATCAATTTTTTTTTTTTTTTAAAAAAGGAAAAAAAAAACCTAGATTGAAGGAGAACTAAGAATAATTTTTCAAAAGTTTTAATCTTAAAGTCAATATTCTCAAGAAAACTCCATAGATTGAGGGTAGAACACTAATATTAGTATCAATTTTTTAAATTGATTGAAAGATTGCAGAACCCATGCTCCAATTTCATCAAAACTCCATATTCATGTGTTGAAATGTCTACGAAATTAGGCGATGCATATCTTCAATATCTTCCCATGGCGATGTAGAATTTTAGAATTCTTATGAGTATGGCGATGCGTATGTCTCCATGGAAGAAAGAATTTTAGAATTTTTATCTGAAAAAAAAATTGACCCAGAAAAATATAGCTAAAGATAAAGGGAGAGAAGAAGAAGAATTGTGTGGTGTGTTTTACTCTGAAGAATTGTATGGTGTGTTTTAGTCTTTAATGGGTTATTAGTTATTGAGTGTCTGGTAACAGAAAGTAATAAGAGGGGCAAAATTGGAAGGTAAATTGCTTTTGCTTAGCTGCCTAAAATTCTGTGCAAAAAGAGAATAGGACAAGCATTTCGGGACTGAGGGAGTAATTGGCCCAGACCATACCCCTGCAAGGGGACACATCTCGTACAGATGCTTTTTATTTAATTTTGATGTCTAAATTTTTACAAGATACTAAAATGATCAACCTCTCGATCATTAAAGCACTTGGCCACTCGGCTCTTTAGAGCTTGGCGATTAGTCGCAATGGCTGGCCCCTTTGTACAAAAGGGTGACAAATAATGAAGTACAAGTTAGTTCACTTGGAGTTAGACGCCTAAAAAGGGAGTCGGTAAAATATTGGGTGTTTAGGGTTGACTGGAGGCCTGTAAAAGGAGTCGACGCTTAGTCAACTCCAGACAAAATAGCACAATCAGAAAACTAAACTGACGTACTTTTAATAGCAATAAAAAAGACTATTATACAAGTATTTAGAATGCGTAGAAAATAGACTGCAATTTGTTTGCTTATTGAACTGACTCATAATTAAATAAATTGAAGGCTACAGTTGTTGGTTTGAAATTTAGTCTGCAATATGGGAAGTACACTAACAAGGCCGCGTGCACACAGAAATGTGTACTTGTGCACACAGGTACTGAAGGGTATGACTTGTGTGCACGTATGCCATATCGGATGGTTCAATTATTTTTAGAGATCTAAGCAAGACGTATTGGATTATGTTACCAGAATTGTACGAGCTTGAAATGTCATAAATTTACTAATGTGTGGCCTTAATCTCTCTAATGCAACATTGTATGGTGACTAAGTCGTGGTTTACAGGGGGAAGCACACACCTATACACGTATGTGAACGATTTGTGCACTATGTCTAGGTGGTTAAAACTACACAGGTCGCAATGCACACACCTTTGTGCAGATGCGCACACGGGTGATGTAAATATATTTATAGTGGTCCACATAAAAAATACACTCTATAAGTACCCCTCATATCACGAAGTAAATTTGAGAGGGTAAGATTTTAGAGTACATGTAAGAGAGCTCCGGAACAATCATTCAAAAAAAATTCAACTCTACTCTAGTTAAAGAGAAGATAAAATTCAATTCTTTAAGAATTAAGATACCTAAAGTGGAGAAAAACGTAAAACTATGACATCACTTTAAGATTAAAAAAATTTTTAAAAAAAAAAAGTTGAAGTTGGTATTACAGTATTCAAAGATGTGTTACACATGGCAGAAACGACAAAGCACGCCGCCAAGTATTAAGCAATTAACTGAGTATGTTTATAGATGACGTCATTGCTTCAGTCTTTTCCATTCCCCAAGAGATGCTTACTTTTATGAACCTCTATACTCGAGACCTGCATCAATATTATGTATTTCAATGATTTGTATATATATATATATATATATATATATATATATATATATATATATATATATATATATATATATAAAAGAGCGCTCATATGCGGCGGGGTCTTACGGTGCGATGGTACGGTCAAATTCCAGAATACATCAACAGTGTTAACAATATGCACCAACAGTGTAATAAAAACACACCCCAATGAAATGTAATAAAACATCACAAAATACACCACAGACTCAAAAAAACACACCATATAACTCACCACCCCCAATGGTGTATTTCCGAACAGTGTTTGGTGTTTTTACTCACACCTAATGGTGTGTGTTTGGTGATGCAGGGCTCTGTTTACTCTGTTTTGTGTGGTGTATTTCCTAACGTTGATGGTGCATATTTGGTGAACTATTGGTGTTGCCGCACCGTAAGAAATAACCGCACCGTAAGACACTGCCGCACCTGAACCCGCCTCTATATATATATATATATATATATATATATATATATATATATATATATATATATATTTCAAGTACTTTAGGCGACGCACTTTAAGTTTCAACACTTGACGCACCTTAAGCATAATAATCATGCACTTTAAGAAGGAAAATCACACAGCAAAAGCTTTAGACCGGCGCACCTAAAGTTTCAACAACTGACGCACCTTAAGTACACAACATAGAAACCATGCACCTTAAGCACACAACATAGAAACCATGCACCTTAAGCACTAAAACAACGCATCTTAAAATGGAAAATCACGTACCTTAAATTAACCTAGATGCAAAAAGACCAAAATGCCACCCTATTTTTTTCATCTATACTTCAATCTAGGCTTTTGATTTTGATTAGATCAAGGGCTGAGAATAAATCCCATCTCCGCACTTGAAGCCTATTACCGCATTTGATATATATATATATATATATATATATATATATATATATATATATATATATATATATATATATATATATATATATATATATATATATGAAGGTTCAGGTGCGGTGGACCCTTCCTGTGCGGCGGTGCGGTGTCACAATAGTTAAGCAAATACACACCATCAACATTAGAAAATGCACCACAAAATACACACAAATTAGGTACGCATCACAAAAAATACACCATTAGGTGTAAATAAAAGCACCATACTGTGTTCTGAAATACAATATTAGGAGTAGTGAGATATATGGTGTATTTTTTGGGTGTGCTGTATTTTTGGTGTATTTTTGTATTTCATTGAGGTGTGTTTCCCTTACACTGTTGGTGCTTATTGTTAACACTGTTGGTGTATTCTGGAACTCCGTCACACAGGACAGATCCGCCGCATTTTCTAACGTCCTCACCTAGGTTAGGTCCTCACTTGATCCTCACCCTAGTCCCGGGTGACGATCAAGTGAGGACCTAACCTTAGGTGAGAACGTGAGGACTAATCTAGACCATTAAATCAGAATAAAGCATGGTTGAGATTAAAAGGAACAAATCACATGGATTAAGAAACAATTCTCTTTAAAATATTAAAAAATATAAATTTATGGGTAAATTAGTATTATTAGAATCTGTGCATTACTATACAAAATATTGTGCATTCCTATACAGAGTATTGTGCATCGGTAAGTCTATAGTTGTGCATTCAAACACCACCTAAAAATTCTACAGTTGACATCTCAATGTCCTACGATGAACTGAACTATGTGCACTAATGCACAACTCACCAGCCTACAATGCATAACTTACAACACTAGGTTACACAACCAGCACACACGATGACACAAATGCACAATCGTACTATTCAGGCATTTGTACGTATACACGACCATCCAAATATATGCAATATTATATTCAAAAGAACGAGCGAAAAAAATAAAGAAATACCGATTACATTGCATGGGCGAACACTCAATCAATGGTGAAGAAATCGCGGCTCCAAATCGCAACGGTGGTGATCCAAACAAATAGGAAACCAATTAAGGCAAGGATTACACATGCGTTCATACTTAAAAAAAAAAAAAGAAAAAGACACTACTACCCAACTTTAACAAAAAAGATCAATCGATGTCATCTTTGAAAATCAAATCTGGGCCATCGAAATAAATAAACGAACTCACAAGATTAGTCCTCACCTAAGAATGAGTCCTCATTTGATCCTTAATCTCTCTCTCTCTCTCTCTCTATATATATATAT